GTGTTCATCCAGCTCCACACCTTGTTATCTCAGATTCTCCAGCATCTGCAGTTCCTACTATCTCTTATACATATTGCATTTCTGGGAATGATGTTTGCTTCAGTTATACAGGGCAACGTTAAAACCACGTCTGGAGTATATAGTGTGATGATGCCATGGCTTTAAGGGGTTATTTTGTCCTAATTTTTTTTAAAGAGAGGTTTTAAGACTGACTTGCCAACCTGTCTACTAGTAAAGTAGACAGCTTGTGAGTCCTTGGGCTTTTGTTTAAGTTGGAACAATAGAAGCAGAGATGGGTGGGGCTGCAGACTAGGCTTTCTAGTTTTATTAGTTTATAGGTTTAGCTGTAAGCAGTCGCTGTTGGAGACTCAACAATGCAGAAGCAGCTGGAGTTTTGAAGAAGTAGAAGCTATTTTTTTCCTCTGTTGATTACAGCTAGAAGCTGGGTTTTTTTCTGCTGCTGGGTTACCTGTGAGACAAATCCATTTTTTTGAAGTTGCCTTTTTGCCAAGGGTTTTTTTTTGGGATTTTAGTATATTGGAACAGTTAATTAGTAATAGTTACTGTATGTATTATTCTGTTAGGTTTTCCAATAGAATTGTTATTCAAAATTCTTTATTTTATATTTTAACTGTAGTGTTTAAATAAATGGAGTTTTGCTTAATGTCGAGTAGTTTGACCAATCGAATTACATCTGGAACACAGCATGTTACATGTGCCTTTTAAAATAAGAAAAAGTTAGGGCTTAGGCTAATTCTTTAAACTATTTTGAGGGTGTCTAGTCTGGTCTGGTCCTTAGCAATAGTCTTGATCTCCTTATTTAAAGAAGGATGTAAACGCTTTGGAAACAGTTCCAAGAAAATTTACCAGACTGATGGGCAGGTTGTCTTATGAGCAAAAATTGGAAAATCTAGGTTTGCATCCATTGAAGTTTAGAAGATTAAAAGGTGACTTGACTGAAGCATATGAGATCCTGAGTCAGTTTGAGAGGTTTGGTGTGGACAGGATTTCCTCTTTTTGGAACATCTCGAACTAATGGGTCACTGCTTAAAAGTAAGGAGTTGCCCATTTAGAACAGAGATGAGAATTGTTTCCTGTGAGGATTGAGAGTCTTTGGAACTCATCCTCAAAAGCTGGTGGAAGCAGAGACTTCAACTATTTTTTAAGACAAAGGTAGATAGATTTTTGGTAACATGGAAATGGGCAATGTGGAGTTGAGGTTTCAGTCAAATCAAACATCTTATTGAATGGCAGAGCAGACTGGAGGACCAAATGGCTTTCTCCTGCTCCGTTTGTATGTTGGTATGTATGTAATCATTCCAGTGATCCTCGAGGATCCATTCCATACTTCTTAAATCAGACCAGTGACTGGCTGGATCTGATTGTACATTTGTTCTTGCCCACCTTTTCCTTGGTGGATTCCTCTTCCTTCCAATCTTACACCAGTTTTTCACTAATACCAAATTCTCTCATTATAGTACAGTTATTCAATGACTGGCAAGTGTTATGAAACTTAGCTTGAAAGTTGCTTCGTACTTCATTCTTTTGGCTAGAAGGCCCATTTTGGTTTGTCATTAACTATGCCGAGTCTGCTCTGTGTTAGCTGCCTTAAACTCCTATGCGTCATTTTTACAATACTGCCTGCATCTCGTACTTGATCCCATGTACTGATTTTCAGTATTAGGTATGTAAAACATGCATTCTGAAGTGAAAAATTGAGGCTAATTACTAATGGGAGTGTAGAATTTTGCATCTGTAAAGGCAGGGAGGTGGTTGAAATGAGTATTTTTTACAACTGAAAATGTGAGGTCATCTGGAATGTCAGGTCAGTGTATTTATTTTTATCAATGATTTACACATCTAAACCCCTTGACATTTTGCATTCCGTAACTCTTCTGGGTGGCTTTTAAATATAAAAAATACCACTTTCCTGTCCCACTTTCCCCGGCTTAATTACAACAGCATCTGGAAAATACTTTAATTCCTGAAGATTCTCGGACAATCACGGAGGGCTGGGAACCCAAACCCAGAGCCAGCCCTGACCTGTAATGCTAGAAAACAAAGTCCTACAGATGCACCTGATCTGAAGCAAAAACCATTTGCTGGAAAGACCCAAAAGATAAGCCATATCATGGGACAATGAGAAGAGTTGTTGCCTGGAGCTTAGCTCAGCACCACATTGTTAGATCTAATGCCTGTGTGTTTCTTTTAAAGATAAAGCGACAAACCCACTAAACTCAGAAGAGAAATGGGAATACATCAAAGGATTCTGCGATCAGGTCAATCTGGAACTGGAAGGGTAAGAGGAAGTGTGGTCATCAAAGTGATATCAGTATAAGGAGAGATTATACCATTCTGTGAGACAGACATGTCATTTTACACCACTATCATCCTGTTCCAAGATCACTGAAAAATCTGCAGGGTTATGCAGAAACAGTGGGACTAATTGGTTACCTCTTTTTAGAGAGCTGAAATAGCTATGAGAGGCTGCCTCCTGTGCATTATCATTCTATGATATGTGCATCAGGATTGATGTAAAAAGATGACAATTTGAGTGATGTCCTGATGCTAGGATGACCTCTTTTTGAAGGCACTCCACAAAAAGGTATTAAATGAAAAGGGAGAAAACATGAATGACACTTGAACTATAAATTCCTCTGTCTTCAGCCCACAGATTGCAACTCGCCTTTTGGGTCACAAAATCCAATCACCACAAGAAAGGGAGGCACTATATGCGCTAACGGTAAGGTTGTTCATTGATTGCCGTTAACATGTAACTTTACTCAAAATCTTTTAATTACCAGTAGCATAATAACTTGAAGTCTCATAAAGCAGGTATACCATGGTTCAGATTTAAATTAAAGATTTCTCAGCACTATGTCATCATAAACTCGCAGGGCAGATACACCACAGGTTTAGGTATAGTGTAAAGAACTCACTAGATATTTCATTAAACACCCTCTAGGAAGGGACAGCATAGGACAGAAACAGAAAAATTCCATCTACATCCACTGATCACCTCTTCTCAATGCAAAATTATGGCATTGGAACAGAGGAATTGTTAGATGAAAAGGGTCCAAGTACATCTATTTCATCATTTACCATGTGTGGTGGGATCAAAACTTATAGCAATTGTTCTCTAACAGTTAACCTATACCAAACCCAAGCATGAGGTTAAAAAAAAACCTCAATAGTAGTGAGCTTTGGGAATAGTAGGTTCTGACTTGCCTGTTCCTTATAAGCCATGCTACACTCAACACACGTAATGTCTCAAATAACTCTCATGTTGCATCCAAAATATTATTTTCTCAAAAAGATGTAACCTTGAATAAATCAACTCTGACCGTTCCTATTATCCTCTCAGAGAGTCTTTTCGATAAACCTCTTGCTTACTAAACAGTTTCATTCTTTTTGTAGAGATGATGTTCCAAAGATTGAACACAGATCATATGTTGTAACTGGTGATTATGGTTTGATGTGTGTGTGTGTGTGTGTGTGTGTGTGTGTGTGTGTCGAGTGTGACTGTATTTGGTTTCGGTTTAGTGTTTGTGTACAGTGTTTAATGACCTGGATTTTTCTTTCCACAGGTATTGGAGACCTGTATGAATAACTGCGGCAAACGCTTTCAGAATGAAGCTGGAAAATATCGATTTTTAAATGATCTAATTAAAGTCTTATCACCAAAGGTATTGTACAATTTTTTCCAGATCAATATTGTCTTTTAGAGTCTTGGTGATAATTAACAATAATGCTACATTGAATTCTTAACTGTTGTTTTTAGTTTAGTGAGAGTTCTAGGTTTCCATTATGTTTTATGTGAAGAAATAATACCTACTATGACACCTGAACATTGTACCTCAATTTTGTAAATTTGTACCCTCTCTTATTCAGAACTTCACACCCACCCTATCAGAGGAATAGTTGATTCTATCAATTCTGTTGAAACCTCTAATCACCTGAAATATCTTGATTTTATTACAGTTTAATATTTTGGACACCATAAGAATACATGCCCATCTATCTACCTATCCGTGCATCTTATCCCTTTCCATCTCTTATAATTCTGGTGAATTCATGCTGCCTTTTTTAAAGGCCGTTTGTATTATTCCTGCGGCACTGTTTCTAGATCTGTACGCATACTCAAGATAGGGTCTGATCCTTGCATCTCTAACCACCGCAGAAGTTGCCAAATACATTCTTTGCTGAAATGTTTGTCCCCAAAACGGATTCTCTCAACTGGAAGAAATCCTGTAAAGTCTGTAAAACTGTATTCTCTGACCACTCTTTCCATTCATGGTGTTATGATCACAAGGATCTGTCCTTTTGATCTGGAAAGTATATTAATAGTTTGAGAAGTTCCTTTGTTTACCATTTTCTTATCAACCTGTTTTTGACTTGAGGAATTATGTGATTAGTTTTTGCCTCTAATAGGACCTGTTGCAGTCTTGCCAGATTCCTTATTTCCATTGCAAAGCCAAGAGCAAGGACTACCTGTAGTTTATCGTTTCTCATCTCTGACCTTAATCCCTTTTAGAAAAAGTAAACCATCCTTTGAATGTTAATTATTTAAGGGGCGTCGACAGTTTCTCAAATCCAAACTTGTTTCCATCTCAAAAGTGTGATGAGGTTCTCCTTCTCCTCATTTTCCACCCTACCAGCCCTCGAGTTCAACATATCATCCTCCACCATTTCTACCATCTCCAGCAGGATGTTGCCACCAAACACGTTTCTCTCTTGTCTCATTAACATTCTGAAGGGACTGTTTGCTCTGTGACACCCTAATCGACTCTTCAATAACCATCAACACCTTGTCACCTTCCCATCGCATTTTCCTACTCAATTGCAGGAGATGTAACAACTGTCCTTTTACCTACCCCCTGCCAACTTCCCCTCTCACTGTCCAAGGTCTTAAGCACCCTTCCAAGTGGAGCAGCAGTGCAGTTATGCATTCAAGTTAGTGCTTTGTATTCATTACTCACACTGCGGTCTGACTGTGGACACCAGAGGCAGTCTGGGTGACTGGTTTCAGATACCTCCATTTACCCTGCAAGTATGACCCCACTTGGACTCCCGGCCACAGTGCGGGCCCAGTGTGGCAATCTCTCGGCCTGGCATGGCAGTCTCTAGGTGGCCCAACACTGTGGTCCTTCAGCCCAATGTTTAGCATGGACCTTCAACATTGAGATGTTTCCAGAAGCGGTCTCTCAGCCTTAAGAGCCTCAAGATGAACCCAGTGCGGTCTGTCGTCAAGGCCCAGTGCAGACTAGAGGCTAGGTGCCGGCGTGGACTTGGCGGAAAGGACTGTTATTTTTAACTTAAAATTTCTTTATTTTTCTAATCAATTCCAATGATCTGTAATGCTGGACTTTTTATTTCTTTATTTTTCTAATTTTTCTTCCACTAAGAATTTGTACTTAAGAATCTGTCCCTAGGTACCTTTGTACCTAAGATGGCACAGTAAGTTGGGACTTGTAAACTTTACCACTGTACTGATTTGAGTACATTACAATAAAGCTAATTCTAGCTCAAACTTTAAGTCATCTGCAATTTTAATACACTACCTCACTCTCCAGCACACACTTCTATACTGAACTTGCTGCAGCGTTCCGGGGAAGATCAACTTGAGCTCATGCAGCATCACGTTGTCTTCTGATTAGGTATTTTACAGTCTTCTGGATTCAACACAGAGTTCAGCAACTTCAGACTGTGAGCAATATCCACTCTGGGTTTTTTTTGCTGTGCCAGTTGAATCTCATTTTTCACATGTTTGTTGTTCATTATTCTGGCATTTACACTCACTCTGGACAAATGTTTTGACTCTACTACAGCCAATGTCTTTTGTTCCATAACATCTTTGTCATTAAATTTCCACTCACCATTATATCCAGACTTTCTTTCTCATTCTTTTTTCCCTTACCATCATTTCAGACATAAAACCCATCATATTTCTGACTTACAGAGTCATACAACTTCCTTTAATTCTGAAGAATTCTTATTGAAACATTAATTATGTTCTCTTACTGTTGATGTTGCCAGACCTGCTGAGTATTTCCAGCATTTCCTTTTTGTTCCCACTTCCTGTACATTTAACACTTCAAACCCTGACCTAAAAGTTATATTACTAAAACATGAACCATGAAATTAAACTTCCTAAACTGTATTCTGATACATTACATTTTTTGACGAAACCAGGTGCGTGTTTCTATTGAAAGAAAATATAGCACAACAGTGTTTGCAGAAAGAATGAGGCCAGACTACAGTTAGATCTTTGCTGTTTTCTCCCTGCAGTACTTGGGCACGTGGTCCTCTGAAAAAGTGAAGGCCAAGATAATAGAAATGTTGTACAGTTGGACATTGTGGCTGCCAAGCGAAATAAAAATCAGAGATGCCTACCAGATGCTGAAGAAGCAAGGTGTGTAATATGTGACTGACTCAGTGCAAAGCATGGAATTAAAAAAAATGTATTTCTACAGTGTCTTTCATAACTTTAGAATGTCCCACATGACTTTTAATCAAGGAAGAATTTTTGAAGTGTAGTCACTGTTGTAATAGAATATAGAACATAGAACAGTACAGGCCCTTCGGCCCACGATGTTGTGCCGACCTATTATGCTACTAAGATCAAACTGCCCTGCATACCCTACATTATACTATCATCCACGTGCCTATCCAAGAGTTGCTTAAAAGTCTCTAAAGTATCTGACTCCACTACCACTGCCGGTAGTGCATTCCACACGCCCACCCCTCTCTGTGTAAAGAACCTACCTCTGAAATCTCCCCTATACCCTCCTCCAATCACCCTAAAATTATGCTCCCTCGTAATAGTAATTTTCGCCCTGGGGAAAAGTCTCTGGCTATCCACTCTATCTATGCCTCTCATCATCTTGTACACCTCTATCAGGTCACCTCTCATCCTTCTTCGCTCCAATGAAAAAATCCCTAGCTCCCTCAACCTTTCCTCATAAGACATGCCCTCCAATCCAGGCAGCATCCTGGTAAATCTCCTCTGCACCCTCTCTAAAGCGTCCACATCCTTCCTATAATGAGGTGACCAGAACTGAACACAATAAACACTGTGTAGAATGTAGAAGCGTAACAGCTAATTTGCACACAGTAAGGTCACACCAACAGCATTATAATGACGATATGGTTCTTTTAATGGCAGTGACTGAAATAAATATTAGCCTGGATACCAGGGAGAGCTCTCCTGCACTTCTTCTAAATAATGCTACAAAATCTTTATGTCTGAGAGTGCAGATATGGCCTTGTTTTTACATTCATTCAGAGTGCATTTGTAATGTTACTGGATTAGTAAGCCACATGGTCAGGGTAATGTCCTGAACACGTTGATACAGATACCGCCATGGAAGGTGGTAGGGTTAAATTTCAGTCTATAAATCTAAAATATAAGGCTGCTTTCAGTAATGGTGATTGTCGTAAAAATCTACCTGGTTCACTGATGTTGTTTAGAGAAGGAAGATCACTTTCCTTGCGTGGTCTGGCCTACATTTGGCTCTTAAGATCCTTTTCGAATGGCCTGGGCAAGCAACTCAAGATCAGAGGCATTTGGACATGGCCATCCCATGAACATTTTTTTAAAAAATGACTGGTTCCTCCCACATTCCTTACTCAATTTTCCTTTCTCTGTACAACCATTGAATTCCTTTTCACACCCATTTACTGGCTCCCTTATCATAGCCTGTACCCACTTGTTCACTCTCCTTTCACAATCAAGGTATAATTTTCCTGAGCGAGAACAAAACAATTTGAAGGAAGCGTCACAGGTGTTAAGTATTATCCATTTTACACAGCCTCTATTTTCTAACATGGTGGAAAGCTGAACTTGTACAATAATATCACTATTACTGCTACTCTATTATAAACATTTTGTTTCCCTTCCTTGAATTTGTTTTCTCTTATTCTTCAGGTGTCATAAAGAAGGATCCTAAATTACCAAATGTGAAACCTTTTCCACCACCTTCTCCGAGAATGGAGAGCTCACTTTTTGATGACGAAGAGAAATCGAAGGTTTAAAAAAATCTCATCTATAGTACACACATTTCAAACCTTTTTAAAAGAGGAGGCTAATGAATAGTAGATGCATTAGTGTTAATTTTCCAAAGGTCTCATTAGACTGGAAAGTAGCAAATATAACTCCTCTATTCAAGACAAGGAGGCAAAAAACAGGAAAATATAAGCCACTTAGCCTGATGTCTGTCGTGGGGATTGTATTACAATTGATCATTAAGGAGGTTATAATTGAGCACTTAGAAAAACTCCAGTTGGATGTAGCTTGGTTTTGTGGAAGGAAAATCAATATTAAATCAATTTAGTGGAGTTCTTTGAAGGATTAACAAACTGAATGGATAAAAGCGAGTCTGCTGAGGTACCGTACTTGGATTACCAGAAGGCACTTGATGAGGTGCCACATAATAGGCTATTGTATGAAGTAGAAAGTTATAGTGTGGGATGGTGGTTTCAAACCTCTTGAAGCACAAGACCATGTCTTGAATTTAAATGCAACTCAGGATCTACCCTAAAGAAAATACAGAGTAAACAGTTTATTTTTAGTGTTATATAAATCTAAAACCAAATATATAACTATTCATTTTGTCCTCTGTTCGCTAAGCCTCAGGGTGACATTTGGATTGCACACTTTCTGCCAGAGCCTTGAATGTGGGTTGTAGTTTGAGTTTGTAAATCATACACAGTCAATCAAATGAGTGTCTGTGAGGTGGATGTGATATTAGAACTTGATTATTTTCATTTGTGGGAATATTGTCTCAAAGAGGTATGTGGAGTCAAAGTAAGCTTTCACTTTAAATGCACAGCATGAGAGGAGTGGGTATTTTTCTTTGTATACGAGTCCCCAGAATCAACTTCTCCTGATCTGACTTTAAGCTGAATGTAATTTTGCATAGTAACTATCTCCATATCTACTTCACTGCTTTGTAAATCAAACATCGGATTGAATTTGGTATCCAATTCACCAATGTCTACTTGAAGAAATGAATTTGAGACAAAAAAACAATTTATTCCATTACATCTAATTCCTGAAAAGGCCTGTTGAATTCCTCTGCTATCTTCTTTAGCTGTGCACAGATATTTCCTGGGTGGAACTATGTTTCTTGTCTTTGATTTTGCTTGTATATTCTCCAGATTCAGGAAGTGTTGTAGTGTTTTATTATTTAATTGGGAGGATGACATTCCCCGTTTCAATTTGAACGCTTCCATAGCATTAATCATATGTATCAAGTCTCTGTCCTTTCCCTGTAATTCACAATTCAACTCGCTCAGTTTTGATGTGATATCCGTTAAGGAGCATAAAGTCAAACAACCAAGCATTTTCTGCCAGCTCACTATACACTTCATTCCTCTATTTAAGGAAAGTGCCAATTTCAGGCATTAGACCCAAAATTATTTGGAGGATATTCCCTCAACTTAAACACCTCACATCAGCATGGAGGAAAAGTTCACCATAGGCAGCATTGAGTTTGTCACATAATGATTTAGATGAGCAGTGTTGAAGCGCTAACAAAGTAAGGAGCTGGAGGAACACAGCAGGCCAGGCAACATCAGAGGAACAGGAGAGCTGACGTTTTGGGTTGGGACCCTTCTTCAGACCTGAAACGTCAGCTTTCCTGTTCCTGTGATGCTGCCTGGCCTGATGTGTTCCTCCAGCTCCACCCTTTGTTATCTCTGACTCCAGCATCTGCAGTTCTTACTATCTCAGTGTTGAAGGGCTGCAGCTTGAATCATGTTTATAATCTTAACAACAACTTTCATTACATGATAAATGTTCATAACTTTGCTCGTGAATTGCAGAGTGGTAATTGACAAAAGTGGGAAATCAGGATCATTTCTGCAAAATGCATCAAAGCCCACATTTGTGCTAAGTATGTCTGTTGCATCATTCATCGGTTGTGATGGAAATCATTTCTTGATTAGAGTGTTTTTCTGAAGTACGTATCAGTTGCATTAGTTGCAGATGTCCTCACCCCTTGCTGTTTCTTCAAGGGGAAAAGGAGTGAGAAGATCCTCTTTAGTGGTTATGTCCTTAAAAACTATGCATATATTGATGGATTCATCAAACTGCAATAAGAAGCATTTCTAATTGGCTTGCTTATCCGGATTCTGGATTGCCATGTGGCAGTGCTCCCCGTAATTTTTCTTCATTCTGCATGGACCTTTTTGATAAGCAGCTGTCAGAAAAAAAGCTGCGGGTCTACAGACAAGAGTTAGATGAGTGGGATTAGCTGAGCTACTATAAAAGAGATGCAGAGAGACCTCATGGACATAATGGGGTAAATAGTCTCCTGTGTTTCCAGTACTGTTATGTACTGGCTTCCCACAACAGTTCCTGGTATATTACTTCTTCATTTCTTTGCATTGCCATCACACAACTTACTTTACTCTGCATTGATATTCTATCTGGACCAAACTGAAACATGATGCAACAAGCTGGCAAAAGCTGTTTTAGAGCATGCATTTTTTTCTCCCAGCGTGACGTTAAGAAGCAAAGGTCATCCAGTGGCATGGCAGTCGATGAATGCAGGTGGTGTGGGAATGTGGGTAGGCGGTGAGTACGACTGTCAAATGAGGAAATGCTTATGGACGGAGAGTTTGACTTAGACACATACAGTGAAGGAACGTAGGCAAGCATTGAGATCGACTGTCAGAGAAACACATTGTGAAGGAATGTGGGTGGGCATTGAAATCAACTGTCAGATGCACACAGCAAGGGAACACGGGTGGGTAGTGAAATTGACTGTCAGAGACTCCATGATCAACCAGCTGATTGTGATCTATGTGTTGGAGGCCATGGGAGAAGGGGGTAATGTACAATCGTGGATATAAGATTAGTTGGTTGTGAGAAAACACCGTGTATAAATGGGTCTTTTTCAGATTGGCAGAAATGCAGTAAATTGGATCGCACAGGGGTCTACGCTGGGCCTTTAACTGTTAGAATTTATATCAATAACTTAGATGGGAAAACTGAAGGTATGGTGGTTAAGTTTGCAGATGACACAGAGATAGGTATGTGTGAAAATGGCAAAGCAAAAATGCAAACTGATTATAGAAATGTTAAGTGGGCAAAAATCTGGCAGATGGAATATAATGTGGGAAAATATTAAGTTCACTTTGGCAGGAAGAATGAAAACACACACGATCATTTAAACAGAGAACAGCTGCAGAATTCTGAAGTTAAGAGGAATCTAGGTGTTCTAGTGTATGAGTCACAACTAGTGAGAATGTAAATACAGCAAGTGATTAAAAAGCTAATGTAACTCTCTGTTAAAAGGCAGTGCACCAGGTTATTGAATAATTTTAAGATGGAGGTAGATAGATAGACCTGCAATTTGGAACACCTAGGTCAGTCATGATCTTATTAAATGGTGGACCAGGACTGAAGGGCTGAGGTTTCATATTGACCTTTGGGATTAAAGAAGCGGAAATATAAAGGTGGTCATTATTTTCTTATCTCCATCTCAATACCCACCAACAAAGTGGTGGAGTGTCAGTAAACTTTGAGTAAATTAATGGAAAATGGCTTCTTAAAACTCTTTTAGATGTTCTCCAAATAAAAAAAAACTTATTGCAGATGTGGTGTGATTATAAAATGTAATGTAAAGGATTGGAGAGTCTCACCTTTAACCATTCAGGTGATAAATTAACTCAAACAAAGTGGGAAAAGTGAATCTTTTTTGTAAAATTTTATCCCCACAGCTCCTTGCAAGACTTCTCAAAAGTAACAATCCAGAGGATTTGCAGGCTGCCAACAGACTCATCAAGAATGTCATCAAAGAGGTGAGTTCATTTACAATATCTGGCAAAGTATCCTTAACCCTAAAGCTAACCTATCCTTCCAACTTCAGTAAATCAGAACTCTGGTCAATTGATCATTGACCTCCTGACCTAATAATGTATTTCCATTGAACCACTTAATCCAAGAGTAAGGAGGCAAGGCAAAAGACCTGGGATAGGTCTTTCAGTCAAATAAATCTGAATAACTCAGCAATTCGACTGGAAGTTTTAATAGGCCTTTCCTTTGGCACGTATTAAGAGGTAAAAGGTAATGGGTTTTGGTTCAGTGGAAAACCTTGCATTAACTGGGGCAGTAAGCTTGCTGGGGGATGAACCTGGCTGAGGAGTGCTGCGAAAGTGCCAGTTGTGTTCAGGCATGAAATTGACCGAGAATTCCAGTACTCAGTGGAAAGCGTGTGTTTTGTGAAGGTGTCCACAGGTAAACAGCCAACCAACACTCTACGTCTAGTCATGCTCATGAAAATTTCTGTCATGCATCATTATCTACCCTCCAAATCCACAGCTTAACATTCTCAAAAGAAAACAAAGGTAGTTAATATAATTATGGTTTCTAGTTACCCAGTAAATTCTCAAACTGAAGTTGTTTGCAGGACCAAGAGAAGACTGAGAAAATCACCAAAAGGATACATGCCATTGAGGAAGTGCAAAACAATACAAAGCTGCTGAACGAGATGCTGAGCCTGTACCAGGGAGATCGTTTACCCAAAGACCAGATGGAAATACTAAAGGTGACATTTTATACAAACCACAGAATCCACTTGACTAGATTCTAGCCTTTAAATTACTTTTGAGTATCATACTTTTTGTTGTTTTTAACAGTCTGACGTTGTTATTTTCACTGTGGGTTTATGTTGTCTCAATGTCTTCTCTCCTGTTTTGTGTACAGGGCTTGTATCAGCGCTGTGAGAAACTGCGGCCGACACTATTTCGACTTGCAAGTGACACCATAGATAACGATGAAGCTCTGGGTATGTTTGCTGTTTGATGGATTTTGGAGGAGTGTTTCATTTATTGGGGATTGTTCTGGTGTTTGAAAGTTGAGTGAGACTGCTTCCAGCCAAATGCGAGATTAGATGTCTTAGTAATATTGATCCCTTTTCCAATGTTTAGTGGAAATTCTACAAGCCAATGATTCACTCACCCTTGTGGTCAACTTGTATAAGAAGATAGTGGAGGGACGTGAAGAGGACAAAATACCCTCAAAAGAATCAGCTTCCACAGGTAATTCTAGGTACCTGCTCAACAAGGTTTATTTTGTGTGTTTTCTGATGAAGAATTTTTAGAATGGAAGCAGAAAATGGTAACACTTAGCAGGCCAGGCAACATCTGTGGAGAAGGAAATTAAGTTAACCTTTCAGGTCAATGATCTTTCATCAGAATAGGGAAAATGTTCCAGATGTTTTCTTAAAATTATTTATTCATGGCTTATGTAAGACACTGGCTAAACTGTGATTTCTAGCCCATCCTTCATTGTCCTGTAGAAGGTGGTAAAGTGCTGTCTTCTTAAATAGCTGCAGTTCAAATGGTTGCAGAATATCGAAGATAAAATGGATATATTTTCTTGAAATTCAGAGAGTAAAAACCCATTCTTTGTAATATTTTTGTATCACAATATTAGTGGTGCTAGAACTCCAAGTAGAGTATTGGTTGAGGTCTAAAGTTATTGAACTTGATATTGAACTTGCAAGGAGGGGTTAGTGTCAGAGTGCAAGCATGGAATGTTGGAGTCAGAGATCAGAGTGCCAATGCTGGGGGCAAGAAGTGAGCTAGAGTCAGAATACAAGCTATTTGACTGGGTGGGAGGGCAGACAATTCCAAGTGAACAGTATGGGATGCTGAGCATAGAATAGTGAGAGTGCATGTGCTCAGTGCCTGAATTGTAAATTGAATTTCTTTTTCCGAATCAGGAACTTAACTCTGTCCTTTCATTTTTGAAGCTGATACCATGCTGGCAGATTTAACTGATTTGGAATCTGACTTTACGAGTTCTGCTACCATCTCAAATCTGGACTCCAAGAAGCAACTGCCCTCCTGGCTTGATGAAGAGCTAATGTCTTTGGGTGTGTGGTATTCCTCCTTTTTAACAAATTAAAATAGCACTCAGTCACAGAACTGCCTCGGTCTGCAGTGCACTTTGCAAAGTTTCACCCCTTGACTATGTCCTTTCTCTGTTCTTGTTTGGTCAAACTTGCTTGCCTCAGTTGCATCTTTCTTGCCTTTGAATTGGAAGGTACTGAGTTCAGCTCCACTTCATAATCCAAACTTACACTCCCAAAGCAATACAGAGACAGTGTTGCACTTTCAGAAGTGTCACCTTTCAGATTAGACTTTGGACCAAAGACACAGTCAGATGGATATTGATGTGTAATTGGGAAGCAAAAGAGTTGATGTTCAGAGTTTGGGACGATCAACCTTTCTCACCCAAGCTTTGGAATCATTGATTGTTTTCTCCTCTTTCCATTTGACTACATGAGGAGATCCTTGATTGATCTAAAATGTGGATTGAAATTGTTTGATGATGCCTTCACTGATCATCAAGTTCAGATGATCATAGATCAAATGATGGATTGATGCCCAGAGAGATCACTGTCTGATATGGGGCAGACCACTAGTTTCTCTATGGTGACACAATGATATATTACTTTCCAGGCTTGAATGATCCTCCACTGATTCAGCAAGTGCAGGGATCCATGAATAGGAACACATCTGAGGTAAGCAATACAGAGAGTTGGGTGTCTTCCCTCGTCTTCAGATGCATGGGCTGCCCCATGACTGAATGTTTGTTTGTCTTTTCTCCTGTCCTCATTTTCCTGGGTTGGGTTAAGGAGTTATATTGAATTGCCCATGTTTATGGGCAAAGTATAGCAATTGTTTGCATTTGTTTTCTGCAGGGTGGCTGACTGGAAAACTCTCCTATTCCACTGCCTGTTGTCAGGCACACTGAAAGGATTTACAGGCTGACAGTCACCCTATTTGGCCACCTTATGAATGCACTTTCCCTGACCAAAAAGTCCTGGCATGGTACTCAAAACCCAGAGCTTCTGGCCCAACTGCAGTATAGGTTCTCCTGCAGATACACTTTGCATTTGTATACTGAGTGAGTGAGTGTGTTTATTGATGTGTTGAGTGAATGGGTGTGTGTCAGGTTTGCATTTCACACCATAAGATTCAGGAAGCCCATCCAGATGCTCCTTCAACCTGGTTTTCATTGCATATAAAACTTTTATGTGTCTTCGCCGCAAGAATAACTCCTCCTCTCAGTGTCCTGATGTGTCTCTAATGTTGCAGGAAGTGACTACATCTGAAACTGTACCAAACCCCACAACCAATGGCAGCAGAGGCCTGGCTGGCCTGGACCTGCTGGGGAAGACAGTGATGGAACAAAGTCTTGGGTCCCGAGTGTCAACTATTCGATGGTGAGAAACCACATCCATTTCCTGGTCCCTCTGAAATGAAAACAGAAAATGCTGGAGAAACAGTAATGCCCCAGTTACAGTACTGCACTCCCTCAGTAATGCCCTAGTTACAGTACTGCATTCTGTCAGTAATGCCCCAGTTTCAATGCTGCACTCCCTCAGTAATGCCCCAGTTACAGTACTGCACTCTCTCAGTAATGCCCCAGTTACCATGCTGCACTCCCTTAGTAATGGCCTAGTTACAGTACTGCACTCCCTCAGTAATGCCCCAGTTACTATGCTACACTCCCTCAGTACTGACCCTCTGAGACTGCCATGCTCCTTCAGTGTTGCCCTGACAGTGCTGTGCTCACCCTGTATTGCTCCAACATTGCTGGACTCCCACAGTACGGCCCCTCCATTGCTGTGCTCACTCAATACTACCCCTAAAAATGCTATGCTCCCTCAGTGCTCCCTCCGACTGTGCTGTGTTTGCTCACTACTCTTATTGATTTATGAAGGGAGTCTTGAGACTCCTTGCAAAATCAAAGATCCTTTCAGGAAGCAGGACACCAAAAACCATCTAAGAGATTTCATCCCACTTTCAAAATTCTATTTGATCTCTGACCAGGGACCAGCCACAAGTGAAACCCACATTGAATGAGCTTCAGAACCAGTCCCTGACCCAGCAGCTGGCTGCAGCCAAGGATTCCAGCTCACCTGCAACTTCAGCTCAATTCACAACAACAGGTCTTCTCCCTCAATGGACAATGCCATCTTCTGGAACAGCAGAACTCTGCCAGGACTCCCCCTCCCAACCACTCTGCACTGTGTCCGGCTCACCCACTCCACAGATCCCATCACCTGCCAGACCCCAGGAAGCTGGCTCAGATGAACTGTCCTTGAAGAATGTCTTTGTGCCTTTGGAGAACATTAAAACAAGTAGGTGTAACAGAGCAAGGGGAAGAACATGGGTCATTTGAAGTCATTAATCAAGTGGGATTTCCATCCTGAGTTTAGCCACATGGGGATTAGATAGAGTTCAATATTTCACTGGGGACAGGCAGTTTTCTTAGTGTACGTTTGGACCTATAGTCAGCAAACAGTTTTTAACATTCACAAGGATCAGTAATTGGAAAGGGCTAAGGAAGGGAAGTGGGAGTTAGAGACAGTCCGTTTGAGTATCTGTGAATCAGCCAGATGGGTCAAAGAGTGTCCCTTGTCTGTGTTTTTCTTTGCAATCAATCTTTAATAACTGAAACAATCATAACTAGCATATATGTGGTACTTTTTAACATCGTAATTATCCCCATGGTTCTTCATAGAAGCTTAATCTTATTTTTCAACTCATATTTTTAAACTCTGTTCCCCTAGTTCACTCTAATGTCTTAAAGGAAGAAAGAAGTGGAGAAGCTTGGGATAGAATTCTAGCGCTTTGGTCCCCAGCAGCTACATAAGGTCGGGCTTCGGAAATCACTTACAGGGGGGTAGACCAAGCTGAGATATTCTATCCTCCCCTTCCAGTCAACAGGTGCTAAGACCAGTTTTAGGCCCAATATTGCAGTCCTGGTGAGATCAGACAAAAGAGGAAGGCAGGGTCCCAGTTGTCTAACTCTCAGCAGCGAAACCAACATCATTTCCTACCTTCATTAAACCCGCAGGTAGTGTTCCACCCATCACAGTCTTTGACAGAGATGGTTTCCGAGTCCTATTCCACTTTGCCAAAGCCCTTCCTGTGGGGAGGCCTGATCTTTTGGTTGTTGTCATCACATTGCTGAACTCCGCGCCAACGCCCATAAAGAATATTACATTCCAAGCTGCAGTGCCGAAGGTAAGGCTGTAAGGCTGCTTCTTGCGGATGTGTGTATTTGTGCTTCATGTATATAAATTTAACTTTATACCATTATTGACGAGTGCTTCATTTGTGCCTTGCGCCGGAGGGAAATCTACTCTTTATATATAATGTAGTGTGATCTCCCAAGGTGTTGTTTTGAGGTATTTTGGTCATCAAGTCATTGCTTTGAGTATTTGTGATTGCAGGTGATGAAGGTGAAGCTGCAACCTGCCTCTGGCACAGAGCTCCCTGCATTCAATCCTATCCTCTCACCTCCTGTCATCTCTCAAGTTATGCTCCTTGCTAACCCCCAGAAGGTAAGGAATTTGATGGACATTTTGCTTTCAGTAAATCCGTTCTGATTGTATTCTGGAAAATTTCATTTCATCACCTCCCAATAATTGGTCACCATACACTGGACCTCACACAGTGCTGGGTACCTGACTGTTTGTCATCGGTATGTTTGACCTTGTTAAACACCATGTTAGAATAATAAAATGATTACAGCGGAGGAGGAGGCCTTACAGCCAGCTGTGTCTGAGCTGGCTTTCTGCAATGGGAAATTAGTAGGCCTGAAAACATTTTCTTTGAAATTAAGGTATTTCCTTTTTGAAAGCATTGATCGAATCTGCCTCGACCACATACCCAGTGCTTTTCAGATCGTAACTGCTCAGTGAGTACTCCACCGTTGGAAAATGAATGGACTTTCCCCTCCCTGATTGAAAGCTTGGTCATCAGTCTTTTACTGTTCATTTCTGATAATTGTTTGCTGCTATGATTGTCTTTCTCCTACAAAATGGTGCCCAGGCATTTAATCTTCAATTCACAGCGGCACAGCAAAGATTCACTAGATTGCTGTGAGGCTGAGTAAAATTGGGCCAATTTCTCTGCAGTTTAGAAGATTGAGTGTTGAAATACTGTAAATTTTAAAGGAGCTTGACAGGAGTCACTGAGAGATTGTTTCCCCTATCTGGGGAATCTAGAACATGGGCATAGGCTCATTATGAGGGTTGATCATTTCAGACTGAGTTGAGGAGAATCTTCTTCATTTAAAGGGATTGTAATCTTTGGAATTTTCTGCCATAAAGTGTTGAATATAGTCAAGTCTGAGATAGGCAAAGTTTTGGTGTTTTGGGGAATTGAGAGTTTTGGGAGCAGATGCGAATGTGGGGTTGAGGTAGAAGACGGCAGTAATTGTATTGAATTAAGGTGCAGGGCTTAAGGGGTCACATGGTTTATTCCTGCTTATGTTTTTTTATGTTAATTTGTGCTTTGCCTACTTGAAGGTTGTTTGTTTTGGCGAACAAAAAACAAATTGCTGGAGAAACTCAGCAGGTCTGGCAGCGTCTGTGGAGAGAAAGCAGAGTTAACATTTCAGGTCCAGAGACACTTCTTCAGAACATTTTGATGGAACAGAGTCAGTTTTGTTACAAGCAATTTGTAGGCTGGTGGCTGACATCAGTGTAAGGATGAAGGGTCGGCATACTATTGGGCTTGTTAATTCAGGGAGAACATATTATTGGAAGGTTTTGTCAAATGACTTTCAACTGATTCCATACTCCCAGCGTTGGCTACTGAACAGCCCATCTTTGTGATCCACCACCTCCCAGCCCCAATTGTTCATCCTCACAAGGCTCCGCTTTCCCGAAGCCAGTTGGTTATTTAGAAGATGCACTGTCAGTCAATAAATTTTTCCACAATTTCCAATATTTTTATAACTATTAAACAAAAGCATTCAAAGAAAAATGCGCCATGCTTCTGTCTAATTCTGTGATTCTATAAAGTGGGATTATTGTAGATTGTGATCTTTAGTGTTACAGACTTGATGGGCCAAAGGGCCTCCTCTATATAGTGCGATTCTATGATTCTCATTCTCCTTGAAATTTTCTTGCAGCTCTCTGCTTGAGATTATTTCATTTTGGGAGACTCCAAAATAATACTGAAGAGTTGGCAACTGCACTGTATGAATTGTGGTTATTTATAGATTTTTTTTGTTTTGTGTCTATTTTCAGGAACGGGTTCGCTTGCGTTACAAACTACTCTATACTTTGGCTGAACAGCTCTTCACAAAAGTCGGGGAGGTCACAGAGTTCCCAGCCGTGGAAATCTGGGGCAATCTTTGAGGAGTGAATGTATCAGGGTGAAGGATAACCAGGGAAGGACACAGGTCCTGGGGACACCACTATAACTATGAAGGCTCATCACTGTTTTCATATCAAAATTGCCACAGAATTCCCTGGAATTATATTGGATTCCACTCTGAGAGTGATTGACAATTGTTGGAATGATTATATGTTTGCAAGGAAATGTTGCAACTTTAGGCATATCCAGACACACGGTGGGGTTGGAAGGACCTTTTTTTTGCCAGGTTGGTCCTTGTTCACTTTTCTGTAGAATTGGAGAATGGAGCAGATGCAGAATCGTAGAAATTAATACCCATTCTGTACAGGCAGGAATTTAATACCTGCTCCAACATCAAATTACAATTGTTTTTCCCATCCACAGTTACATCATACATTCAGCATCAGCTAGCAGGGGGCACATTGACCCGAACAATTATGGTAAGCATCCCAGCATCACATCAAAGGAATGCTTTCCTTCCACAGAGATAGACTTGACATCCAACGTCAACAACTGGGAATGTTCTCCTACTCCCAACTTCAGTTGTATCTTTTTGATCTGTGTGGTTAAACGGCACACCAAGTGCCATTTATTCATTATATATGGAGGGGACCCTGATATTAACCCTTGTTTCAAGTGGATATCTGCTGAGTGCACAACCTGATGTCATAAGTTTTCACCCTACACCATCAATACTTAGGTCTGAATTTCAACCCTGGAGATTAGCTACGGTTTCCACACCAGCAGTGAGTTGCTGTTCTGTTTGATTATGTACTAGGTTATTCAACAGCCACTGAATGGAAAATGGAAGCTGTAGAAATTTGCACAGATGTTATTATTTGAGGTGCTGGAGAATTCCTGTTCCATTAGTAGATGTCACTAGTTTACAAAACACACAGAATTCTCTTTTCAAAGCAATTAAACTAAACTAATAAAATTAGACTTTTAGACCCTGTTATAAAAAATGAAATTGTCAAATGAAACTTGCAATATATAAATTAAAATTAAATTATGGGTGGAAGTAAACCACTATCATGCCCACTAATTGCAGAAAGCCTCAAGCTCACCAGAGGACTCTGCATGCTCCCTCTCCAAGGACAAATGGACGTGGACGTAACCTCAGTAGTCACTCAGGTCTAAAAATCCTCTCCACAGCCCACTGCCTGGACCTGTCAATGATAGTTTGGCCAGCCCCAAGAGCAGACCCATGAAGGGGTCCCGCGATCTGCACAACCCCTCTGTCCGTGGTGACCAACGATTAGGAGCGTGGGGCTAAAGTGTACCAAAAATTCAAAAGCAGCCCTCAAGATTTGAAAGAGGGACTGTAACCTGTGTACACATGGAACATCAAGGCAGCAGAAAATACTGGCAACTTCTGTTTCCATGAATTAGCTTGATATCCTGTTACATGGGACTGCTCATGCAACACCCTCCACACCCACTTACTGCAATCACTTGCACCCCATGAGATGTAGAATTGACCTCTCAGCAGAAATACAGCCACTGCCCAGGAGGTGAAGAGGATGTAGTTTCTTAATTTCCTGTTCTAAGGTCTTTGGCTCTTGGATCCTTGGCAGTAATTGTCGCCAGAAGTTTGTCTGCTATCCTTTATGTGTAATCCATCACATGTCTGCAACTTTGGTACGGAGATAGAAGAAGCTAATGCTGGGGGGGAGAGTGGTTCATAGGAACAAAAGCAGGTCATACAACCCCTCAAATTTGTTCTGCATCCTTGAGTCATTTGTCTTTTTGTCCCAACGGTGAATTATCCAATGTGATGTAATCAGTATTTGCAACACATTATGTGAATAGGATAATTCAGCATGTGACAGTGACACCTAGAGGTTTAATTGTGTGCCTGTCTGCTTTTTATAACTGCAGTGAATAGATGTCTATTTGGACACTTGTGGCTTAATTTTCTCTGTACTTGCAATACACAATGTACAGAAGAAAGTAACTCCCTTCCTAGTGCCTAACTGTCCACAGACAATTGGCAGTTGTAGTCAGAAAACAAAGCTTAAGAGACTTCATGCTGTTGAAAATACCATGTGGAAAGTTTGCATAGCCACCTCTGAGCTAAGAACCAGTTTATAGTGAAAACATGTTCTTGGATATTGTCAAAGTCTTAAATGTTTAAGGAGAAAAAACTAGCCTTGAAAATGTAATCAAAGTACATATATATTTTTGCAATTTTAGAAAATGCAATAATGTAACTTTCAGGCTTTATACCTGTGTAGGTTTGTGAGACATTTTCAGCAACAATACAATCCAGATTCTGTAAAATCACGTGAATGTATATACACTCCATTTGATATTCAGAAGGTTGGAGCCTGGAAAGTGCTGTCAAGTACAATAATGTCCTCGTCTTTATTGTATTTCTCAGCCTTGCCTCCGTGGAGTATTCTCACTTCTGACTCAAAGTGTGGGCTCAAGTCCTACTCCTGAGATTTGAGCCTATATCTGAGTTGACACACTATCAGAGGTGCATCTTTTAGATGATCCGTTAAAACTTGTCTGCCTGTAATAGTGATGGTAGAGGACGTTATGGCACTATTTCTCCCCAAACAAACCCACACACTGAAACCTGGGCCAACCTTTTTTTCCCAAGTGAATGTTACAAGAAGTGCAATAAAATTTAACTTTTCTCCATACTTAGTGTTCTGCTCTGAGGTACCTCAATACAACTGCAACACTCCTGATATATATATATCCCATGTCAGGCATATAGCCTGAATAGGATGAAATAGTTAGAACTTAATAATATATCATAGAAAGTGCAACAGAATTCAACTTTTTCATATAGTATATTCCACTCTAAGGAATAATAAATGTCAATAATCTTGATATTCACAATATACATTGCATATCAGATGTGCCACCTGGGATAATAAAAACAAAGTGCTGGAGAAATTCAGCAGGTCAGTACGGGTGTGGGAGATGAGAGGTCACAGAACAAAAGGGAGTGGTATTGGTTGTAGAGATGTGTTAAGTTCAAAGTAGGTATTAATAGCAAGTGTTTTAAAAACAAAATATAAATCAGCTGCATTGGAAGAAAATGAGACGCTTTTGTGAGTAACAAAATGGAGGACGGAGTTCATAGTCTGAAGCTGAACTTAGTTCTTAGTCTAGAAAGCTGTAAAGTGTCTAAGGCTTCACTGGAACGGTGCAACAAGCCCAAGACAGAAATGTGAGCACAAGAGCAATCTGATTTATAAACATGACAAGCAACTGGAAGGTTGTGATCATGCTTGCAGACTGAATGGACAAATGATTGATTTTTCATTCCGACTTTTGGCATGATGGTTCAGTGGTTAGCACTGCTGGCTCACAGTGCCACGTTCCTTGAGTTTGATTCCACCCTCGGGTGACTGTGTAAAGTTTGCACATTCTCCCTGTGTCTGCGTGGGTTTTGTTGGGTGCTCTGGTTTCCTCAGTTGGCCATGCTAAATTGCCCGTAGTATCAAAGGATGTGTTGGCTAGGTGGATTAGCCATGGGAAATGCAGGGTGACAGGGATAGTGTAGGTCTGGGTGGGATGCTCTCCAGAGGATCAGTGTGGACTCGATGGGCCAAATAGGCTGCTTCCACACTGTAGAGATTCTATGATTCTGGATTCAACAGTGACTAAAATCATTTTAAATCGTGAACTCTGTCCTCATGTATCATTTTCTTAGTTCACATTAACACCAATCCTGGATCTGCCTCTTTAATACCAGTAGTATTACTTTTGCCTTTTGTTCTGTGATCTCCAATCTCCATTGCCCTCTAACCTTCCCTCTGATCCACTTGCTCCTTCCTGCCTTATCTACAATATAAAATACATCACTTTCCCATTTATTAGTTCCAAAGATGAGTCATATTGTACTCAAAACTGTAACTCTTCCCACAAATGCTGCCAAACCTGCTGAGTTTCGCCAGCGCTTACTGTTTATATTCCATGTAAAGTTTTTTATATCCAGAAGTGCTCTTACACAAACATATCTATAAAAATTATGAGCAACATTATCAGCATCTTTAGCCTATTCTGCCATTCAGTAAAATCATGGCTTTCTGATTGTAATCTCAAGTCTGCATTCCTGCCTTAAAAATATTCAAAGCCACGGCTTCCATCATTTTTCAGGAGGAGTCCCAAAGAATCTTAATGCTCTTATAGAAAAACTCTCATTTCTATTTTAGTTGGGTGACACCAATTTTGAGACAGGTCATGTTAGATTCGTAGTTCTAGATTCTCCCGTAAGAGGAAACAACCTCTCCAAGTTTACTTTGTCAAGACCCCTTGGGATATTTTATATTTCAATCGAGGTGATTCTTACTCTTCTAAAGTAAAGCGGATAAAAGCCTAGCCTGTCCAACTTCATAAGGCAAACCTCTTGTTCCAGGTATTAGTCTGGTAAACCTCTGAACTGCCTCCAAAGGATTTTCTTAAATAAGGAGACCAACAACTTTGGAATGTACTGTTTGCAAAAACCAAGTGAAACACAATTCTTTTGCACTTGAAGAGCAGCAGGTTTCAGACAGCAAAAAAGGAGAATCTTTCAGCGAGTCGATGCTTATCTTGGTTTGCAACCTTGGGAACAGATTACAGAGCACAGGGTCTTTGTGATGAACCACGACAAACCTGTATCTTTATACCTTCTTTGTGAAGAATGTCTGTTGAAAGGCTCCTTTCAGTGATGGTCTGCAAAGAACTGCAATTTGTGAACTGGATTGTATGCTAATTAAGTGGAATAGGTAAGGGATTTACTTGAAATCAGTAAGTGCAGAAACAGAGTGCTATGCTCCTTCCTGAGTCCTGTATGTTAATAAAGTGTGGGAGGGTGACAATCATCATGTTTCTGTTCTGATGATTGATTACTACAATTGGTTGTTAAATTTAGCAACGGCTAAACTGTTGCAATGTTTACAGTTGTTTTACAATAAATGTGATTTTATAATGCATTAGGTTTATGATCCCTCACAGATGAGTGGAGTGAATTGTTGTAATGAATAGCTTTACACTGAATGTGTAACAGTGTGTTATAATTGAGACCCTTAGAAAAAAGCCTCTCCTTCATTTGGCCTCTTTATTGCTACCACACTGATATCTGTGCCTTAAGCTGTATAGCCTTTGCAAACTGTAGTAAATCGGAATTGATTTGCAAGCTCTACTGGAGCTACGACTACGGATTAACAGTGACGAGCCCTTTTAAATCCTTGTGATCTTTTACAGTAGGGCACACCCTAATTTGCTAATCTTTAAGGCCTGACTCCTGTGTCAACAAATGTCAGTGAAAGGGTAGTTTTTCAGAAATCTGTGAAACACTTTGACTCCCTACATGCCTCACCCCCAGGCATCACAGCTACCTATTATTTCTTCTGCTCTTGCACTCTCATTGAGGAGTAAAGGCAATTTTCAAAATAAAGTCACAGTGGGGGAAAACATTAAGGACTGGAACTTCCTTCTTAAACCTTTCCACCTTTTTTTCCCTTCATGATGTTACAAAAGCATTAGATTCACCTGACCATCTTTTCCCTTTTAGTTTTGTTGTTGGTTGATTTTCAGATTACACTCCTGTGAAATGCCTTGGGATTTTGTACTGCATCCAATAAGCTGTGCAAGTGACATGCTCTTCCTGTTTCTGGAACTCAGTCAGTATTCTATAACAGAGCTATAGATTATCCGCTTTATGTGAATTGACAGTTTTATGCTCTACTCTTACAAAGTTACTTCTATATACTTTTTCTCAAAGACTTTTAGTATTTCTGTCTATTAAGAGCAGCAAAATGCATGTTTTAAACACCTCAATTTGCTTTGTAATTTTTTGCCCTCTTGTACAGTCTCCAGTATCTGCAGATCCAAGCATCCAGACTCCAGTGATGTGTGTTCATTCTGACTACTGGGGATGCCTTATATGCTGATTGGGCCACTAATATTCAGCATGGTCCATCCACAGTAAGGTCAACTCCACTATTTCATAAAATGAGACAAACCCATAAAAATTTAAAGATTCAATATAGTATTGTCCAAATTTTCAGCAATATAGTTTGACGGTTGGGCTTGAGATATTTAGAAAGTCCAGGGGTGGAATTTTACTGGGATTAAAGTGAAATGGGCTAATGCAAGATATTTGTGGCAGAATTGGATAAGAAGACAAGCAAGGCCCATCTCAACAGCAGGAACATCTTGCTTCAACTTTTATGCTTTTACCAAGTGGTGAGGTGAGTTTCTCACTGGGCAGAGATAAGTTGCCAATTAAGGGAGATTGTAGCTTGTCAAATGCCTCATTAATGACGTAGCTTGCCTCATTAATATTCAGCTTCCTATCTTACTGAACACTCCAGACATAAAGAAATCTTGACATGGAAATCACAGCTGTTCCCTGGTGACTTCAGCTCACCACTGGCTGCAAAGAGCCTCAATGTTGCTCAGTATCAACATCACAGGACACGCTCCACTGGCCTCCAGCCATACACATAACACGTGCACAGACATTAGCATCTGGCATTTTCTAAACCCCTCACAACCCATCATGGCATCTCTCCGATCCACTTGCAGGACACTTAAAAAGCACAGACTTTCATTGCAAGGCACACTGGCAACTAGGGTTGAAGGTTGCAGCAGGGACCCTGTGCACTCAGGAACAGGCACAGGGTGGACCAGACTGCATCTCAGAGTTGCTCACGTGGTCTCTAAGCACTTTCTTACCTTGCGCCTACCTTCAATGCTCACATCATCCATCGGCCTGTCGTATACAGCAATATCAAGGGGTCCTGACAACAACTGAACCTGCACCAGAACTAACCATATACTGAGGAAAGCATTTTTGAAACCTCGCCCTCCTATAAGCCAAAGTCAAGAAGACCACCATCATCCCTGAAACTAAGAAAGAACATGCAATATATCTTAGTGACTACCGCCCAGTGGCTCTGACCTCAAAAATCATGAAGTGCTTCGAGAAGCTGGTCATGGCCCACATTAACTCCAGTCTCCCAGCCTGCCTCGATCCCCTACAATTTACTTACCGACGTAACAAGTCCACAGCAGATGCTACATCTCTAGCCCTGCACTCATCCCTGGAACATTTGGACAACAAGGACGTCTACGTCAAACTCCTGCTCATTGACTACTGTTCCGCCTTCAATCCCATTATCCCCTCCAGACTGATCTCAAAACTCTGTGACCTTAGTCTCGGCCCCTCCCTCTACAACTGGATCCTCAGCTTTCTAACCCACAGACCACAATCAATGATGATAGATGACTGCACCTTCCCCACAATAACACTCAACATTAGGGCCCCGGAAGGATCCGTCCTCAGCCCCCTACTGTACTCCCTGTACACCCACAACTATGTTGCCAAATTCCAAATGAATGCCATCTACAATTTCACTGATGACACCACTGTAGTAGGATGGATATCTAACAACAACGAGTCAAAATACAGAAGGGAGATAGAGGGCTTGGTGACGTGGTGCAGTGAGAACAACTTCTTTCTCAATGTCGGCAAAACTAAAGAAATGATCATTGACTTCAGAAAGAAAGGAGGAGAACATGCCCCCATCTACATCAATGGAACTGAAGTTGAGATGGTGGAGAGTGTCAAGTTCCTCAGAGTGACAATAACTGACAACCTGTCCTGGACTTCCCATGTAAATGTGACAGTCAAGAAGGCACA